GATAATTAAGGCAGGTAAATCATGTTGAAGAGTTTTACATTATCTTATACACGATAGATACCTGAAAGTTGTGAATTCCTATATTTCAGAGACTCCAAGGCTTTTTATATTTCTACGTATATTAAACGAGGATGTGACATAATCAATAACATATCAATTATATTTGGCAGTGACTTCTCCCCGTAGCTCACAAAATGGTGGCTCCTGTGAAAACCAGTGGAAAGGTCAGAGTCAATGAAGCCTTAGCACTGTTATCCCCATGGCCATCGTCATACTCGGCCCTCTACAGCAGTCCTTACATTGTCCTCACAACGCGAGGGAAACACGCTGAGCCACACAGAGTCTGCAGTTGCGTCCAGCTGATTCTAGGGAAGATGCTTGGAAGTAGACAACACCTCTCCTGACTTTTTCCTTCCCTACAATTGGCCGTTCCCCGCTTCCCCTAACTCCGCCAGCCAACCCCCTTCTCAGGAGTGATCTTAGCGCCAGAGTCCCTCTGCTGATTACCGAGCCTCCGCGCCAAGCTGTTCTGCCACCTTGGTATCTCCCTAGGCTTGGGGAGCTGAGGTCTGGCCCTGAAGGCAGCCATGGCCAATGGAAAGTGGATGGTAGGTGGAGCAAGAGACTTTCCGGGCACAAAATCTCCCCACAGGTGGGCTGCTGTCCCCAAGCTGCCGGCTTTCATGCCCTGGCTGCCGGCGGGTCCTGTGTCCGTGTGAATGACACAGAACCAAGACTCACTACATTTGTTGTTGAATAAACCAAGGGCTAAATGAATAACTAATGCAGATATGCCAAGTAGAAGCATTTAATATATGAAATGCCCAAACATTATTTAGGACGGAATAAATGGTGCTCCACTAGTGGACAGATGAAATGTAAATCGCTGTAGCTACTTTAACAACAGGACAATTTGCTAGTGTGTATTAAAATTTAATATGTGCTTATCATGCTGTGTGCTCCCAGGAAACATGCACATTCAGGCACCAAGTGGAGAGCATGTACAAGGGTCTGTGTGACCGTGTTTTCTCTGGCAGTAAAACTGTAAAGAGCCTGAATACCTACTAATAAGGGAGGGGCAAAATACACGCTGCTCTCCATAGCCATCCTCCGTGCAGCAGCCCAGAAGAATGAGCCCAATCTGTGTACGCTGAGAAGAAAAGAAATATTAGCGCGAGAGAAAAACAAAACAATGTATCGAATGCTATGTAATACGACAAAGTATATTTTTAAAATAGGAAGCAAGCCCATTTTTTTTTTCATTATATGATAGGCTCCCAAATGCATAAGGAAAGGTGACAGCTGTTATCTCTTGTGCGGGGGTGTGCGGTCAGGGCAGACCTCAGTTCTGTTTCTATGTTTACATTTTAAAGTTCGTAAGCAAAATGTTTCTGTGCAGGATTTGTATGATCAGTTTCTTAAGGGAAGCCTCGCTCAGGTGAAGCACGCATCCGTGCATGGCTGTGGGGCGCACTCTCTGCCCGCCGGGGACTGACGTGTCTGCACGGAGAGCAGGGGAGCAGGGCTGCTCCATCCACTCTGCTCTAGGAGGTTACGAGCCCAGACGGAGGAGGCAGTGAGTGCCCCACGGTGCCAGTCTGCCCTTCCCTGGCAGTCACTTCCCGGCAGACCGCAGGCGTGCGTGCACTGATGGGCTGGCAGTGGGCGCAGTGGTTCTGCCTTCCTCCTCCTCCTCCTCCTCCTCCTTCTCATCTTCCTACTTCCTGCTGCTGTCCAGCGGGTCAGTGGATAAGGGAGTGAGGAAAGAGGGAAAGGTGAAGAGAGGGGAGATAGGTGTCAACCAAGACCTCACTGACTGAGAGCCGGGTCTGTCCATAGCTGAGAACACAAGGGACTTGCTGCTTCTCCCCCACTTCGTCATCTCTCTGACTTCTAGCAAAGTGGTCTGTCTAGACTGAGAGCAAAGTCCAGCCTTTCTAACAATAGTCAGAAAGCAAATGGTGCCCAAGAAGTTATTTTGGTCACCCCTGACTAGGGAGTTAGGAATTAAGTAGGACTTGGAAAGAAATCACAATTCACAGAGAACATTCCATTTCCCTCCCTGGAAATGAAAAACATCTCTGTTGTCCCTTTTGGGTCCAAGTTCTCATTCCTTTCCCAAAATTTTCACAAAGTGTGATTCCACCACCTTCCCTGTTCTCCACCTGCCGGTCCACCCTTCCACCCATCCAGTCACATTTCTTTAGCAACAAAACAAACTCCCAGTACTACTGAGAACCTAGTGTGTTTAGGAATGGAGGGTTTCGATGAAGGCTTTGAGAATGAATACAGTGAGTCAGGCTAATGCTGGCAGAGGTGGGAGTGTGGCTGAAGGTGGGAATAGTCTGGGATAAGGGGACGCAAGCAAGTTTCTTAAACTAAAGAAAAATGTGGGCTGCCACACAGCCCAACTCCCCTGTAGTCACAGAGGTGTGAAAGGTATGAGAAGCAACTCTAAATTTGAGAGGAGGAAGAACAGTAGAATCCTGTTAGGATGCTGGATGGGTCCTCAGGAAACACAGAAGCATCATTCTGAAGGATTTTATGCTTGCTAATGAAATATCAAGAAAGGCTATGGAGACACGAATATAATTAAGTGATTCGGGACTGGGAACCAAATTTCTGCCAAAAGGAAGCTTGACAATAATGATAAGAGGGCTGGTGTTTTCCATTTTCCAAACCACAGGCAGCTGAACAACCTGCTATGCTCGGGAGAGACTCCATCAAGCTGAAAGTGAGAAACCAAGTCTCCCTAACCAGGCAGTTCGAACCCTCTACTTCCTTGGCCAGACTTTGCCATTTTCATTTTAAAAATCAGTTCCAATGACTCTCTTATGCACAAGAAAACCAACTGCAAGCTCTAACTTGCTTTCAATACCTTGCCACTTTTACTACAGATGGGGCCAACATAAAAGCCCGGAAAGAAATCAAATTGCCTGTCAGAATATCTGTAGGCTAGGACTGCTGGGGGAAAGGAACCTGCTGTGGACTTCAAGAGCGCCAGCACTAGCAAAATCAGTGAAACTGATTCCTGAAGATCCCAGGGAGGAACCCTGCAGGTAGCCAGGCAGCACTCTATTCTTTAGGCTCTGAATCCATCCTGAGTCATCATCATAACGCTGGCAAGTGGCCTATTCATAAGACTTTTGTTTGTGATATCCAGAAAGGAGCTGGTCAGTCATTTTATGGAGAGTCCTTAGATCAGACCCAAAGTCAGCATGAGGACTGGGGCCCAAGACAGTTCAAGATTGGGCTGACTCTTTCTTTTTTGTACCGGGAATCAAACTCGGGTCCTTATACTTGCAAGGCAGGCACCGAACCACTGAGCTAAATCCCCGGCCCCACAGGGGCTGACTCTTGATGGGATGCAGTGCAGGATCAGAGAGCCCTGGGCCTCCCACCTCAGGGCTCATTAGGTCTGGCTTGGGTGCTGGTGCCTCAGCTCGCTGTGCTATAAAATGAGATTAAATACTACCTTCTACTTCTTTGGGTGGTAAAAATCACTGAGAAAGAATTGGAAGACATAAATGTAAAGCATTTAGCTCTAAGAACATTTGGCATGATGACAAGATGCAAAGGTAGGCTCTAGACATCTTCTCCCAAGACCAGTGGGGGCAAGAAGGAATCCAGAGGCTCTGGGCATTTGTAAAATAAAGGCAGTACAAGTGGAGCTCTGTATGCCTCAGGGGCGATGCAAGTGGATTTGGAGTTCCTTTAATTCTATGTCAGCCCACTTCTATAGAGTCAGAAGTTGAATTTTTCAAATATACTAGTCCTAAAAATCACTTTTTTGTAAAAACAAAGTGATAGAAAAAAAACAAAAGTGCAAAACATATGCATTCTGTGTGTAATGTAAATTAAGCCTTTTAAGAGGCAGATTTTCAGATAATTGCATTACAAGGAAGCTAGGCCAGTCTCTTCTTAACCTAAAAATCACCTGGCTGGGATGCAACTAAGATTACCTCTAAACTGAGGCCAAAAGTACAGCACTTCCGGTTCTATAGATGCTTAAGGAAATTGCAAGTGCCCCTTGACCCGGATGTTGCTGGGAGGCTCTGAGGGCTGTCTCAGAGCCCATACAGACAGGGAGCAGTATTGCTACAGTCCCTGTCCCCGTGTCTCCCTCCTGTCCCACCTCACTTGCACTGGTTACTTGTCCACAAAGGGAGCTCTGGTGTCTCTACCATTGCTGGCTATGGCCGTGCCGGTTGGTGTTCACGCCGGTTGCACTGTCTCCATGACTTTAAAGCTGTCAGTTCTTAGAGGCCAAAGTAACAGTGGGTGCTCTGCAGAGCTGTTAGAAGTTGGACCCCCAAATGTGGGGCCACACTTTGTAATCTGGGCCCAGTAGCTACTCTTGAGTGTGATCACAAGTCCACAAACCACTCAGGAAGTCCGTTCTGGCACTCTAGCTATGGCTGGCAGTACCACAAAGACACTTGGCCACCCTTGCTGGCGATGGAGACCAGGCCATCCCCTCCAGTGTCTTCATTTTCACTCCCAACATTCCTTGACTTTCCCAGGTCTGGAGACAGCCCCCAGGGAATCATCCAAGGAATTCTAAGTGGAGTAAGACCGCCTGCCCAGCAGGGACTGAGTACCAGCGACTGGCCCTGCTGTACCTGGGCTGCTGAAGTCATTTCCCCAGCCTCTGTCGTCTGGAAACCTAAAATAAAGTATCTTTGACCTGTACAGACATTAAAAAATAGAAAACATGCTTGAAAGAACATCGTAATTTTATTCCAAGTTTGGATCAATGAGAAATGGTGGCTGTGATGTAGGCCACACACACATTGATCACACATTGTGAGAGTGTTGGCAGGGTTTGCCTATGTGAAGCATTGCCTCATTCCCTTGTGTACTCACACACACGCACGCACGCAGGCACGCACCCGCCAACACAGTCAGCCAATGACACCTCAGGGTGTTTCCACCAAGGCTCCACCCTCTCATCTCACCTGGGATAAAGCTAATAAAAGTCAGACCAGCTTCGGAGCGCCTGTAGCATCAGCTGAAGCCTCTGCTTCCCTTCGACGCCTTGGTCTTGAGAGTTTTGCCTTGTGAAACTGCATATAAATCTTACAGCCCCACAGTTTCTGCCCTGGTGATCTCAGCCAAAGGCAGTTGTGACCAAAGGAGCTATATTTTGCAGACACAGAAGTGGACAAAGGAGTAAAAGATGACAAGTCCAGCCTGATCAGTTGACCTAACTGGTAAGTTAATTTCTTAAATCAGAATCCCAATTTGACCTGGATACTTTTTGTCACGGGGCTCATTTTTCAAACATGGAATACTGATAAGAAAGGTAGAGAGGATAGTATTCTGATGAGTGGAGTCTGGCTTTATTTTGTTTTGGTTATCTTTAATTCGTACAACCCAATTCAATCAAGATAGGGAGAGCATAATTAACATTTGATTATAGGGGAATAGTTGTACAAAAGTGCCTCTTAGACATTTCTGTCCATTTGACCACATATTTTTCCTACTGTGGAAAAATCTAAAACTCTCCAGTAGAGAAAATACTATTACTTTAAAAATTTTTGGTTACTAATAAATGGTCATTGACTAAATATGCCCTCAGGTGAATTACTCTTCTTATACATAAGCTATGCAGGCCTTTCAGGTGAGTGCAATACAGAATTGTAAGGTGAAAGAATATACTAAGTTACCCATGGAAACAATCCATTTGACCACTACCTGGTATAAAACAGCAGGGAAATTGTGCCTCCGTCCTGTGCTTTATTGATATTGTCCTGCTAGTTGCCTGCTGAGTGTCTACTGTTCCTTCTTTTACTGTCTCCACATCGTGGGGTAAGTCAGTGCAGCTTAGTTAAAGCTACATCTGTGGGTTGGGGGAAGCTGGAGTGGGGTGCCAGGAGAAGGAGCTGGAAGTCACTGGGCAGGGCCACTTGGAAACCCCTTCAAGGAATATGGTTTTGTCTGCTGATAGGGTGGGCACCTTTCTGCTTTCCCCGTTGTTGCTGTATGTGTGCTTCCTGAATGCCTGAGTCTCAGCTGGGGAAGCTTATCAAAATCACATGGACAGCTTGTTAACCTACTAATTGCGGGATCTAGCCCGAGCGTTCTGATGTCGTTAGTTGGGTTACAGCCCAAGGATTTGCATTTCTCAATTCCAGGGTGCTGCGTCCGTGTTCCTGGAGGTTGTACTTTGAGAACAACTGCCCCTAGCTGGAGCCACTGTGGTCATTTTGTGACTCAGATATGACCTTCAGGATAGACACCGTGTCCTAAGCTGGTGATGGCGAACCTTTTAGGGCTTTCAGAGATAACAGCCTGCAGCTGCATGCTGCACATGCGCTGAAGGTTCACCGCCATGCCCTAAGGTTTGTAGACCAGGGATATATACCAAACCTTAGTTTCTGGTCTTAGCTTAAAATTATTCTACCTCCCCAGATTTCCTTTTCCTAAGGAAAAAGAACCTTTATCTTGTTAAACCACTACTCCTTGGGCTTTCTGCTGTGTGTACCTAAACTTAATGATATGTGATGAAAAGGCCTCCATGCAAATCCTGTTTCAAACTTTTAAGAAAAATCTCAATTCTCTTTTTTTCTTTTTGTTGTCGTCGTCGTTGTTGTTTTTGGTACTGGGGATCAAACTTGGAACCTTGCGCTGGCAAGGCAGGCAGCAGAACCACTGAGCTAAATCCCTGGCCTGGGTCTCATTTTTTCAAAGTGACCAGAAAATTGGAAGGAAACAGCATTTGAACTCCAGCAATGCAAGCCTTGAATTCTTACATTAATATTGGCGGTCTAGTATCTGTGAATCTGTGTTTATCCTAATTATGATATGAGAGGTGGTATACCCAGAGCCCAGGGTGCAAATGGGGCCTGCAGGGGATTTCTCCAGTGTAATTGAACTGTCTTGAGGATGGGATGGATGTTGTAAAGAGTCCTGAGGCTCACACCACTGACAGCCCATCCTGAGGATTTTCTGTCCCAGTAAGAACAGTTGGGATCAACAGACTTTTATGTCATATTCTAAGCAAAGGATAGGAAGGTTATGAGCTTTTTCCAGTTAGCTCCAGCCTATCTGCTTAAGGAGGAGAACTGTGCAATGTTCAAAGTTCCTATGAAGAAAAATTTCATTTGGATAATTACGCTGTTGCTAATGGGTCTTTATTAAATTTCTGAGGATTTTGTATCTTTGCTTTTTGAAATGCTTCTCTAAAAGACGAAAGACAAGCATGACAGTTGGTGTACGGAACACAGAGGCTTGTGATTGGATGTTGCCAAGAATGTGTAATGCTTGCTTGGGCTGAAATCATACAAAGGGTCAAATTGTCACCCACACGTTCTCTGAACGGTTGCCTGCTGATGCTTTTGGGGGTCCATTTGTAGCCAAACGGCAGACCTTCCTTGGCTGTATCCCTCTGGGCAGATACATTAACTCCAGGACAAGTGGCCATTTCAATAGTGAACAAATTCTATTCCACCTGCAGGCTAAAGGCAGAATGTAGTGAGGGTCATATTAGGTGTCTAGAAGTAATATTTGTCTCAGTCTACATAGGGGGAAAGCTGGCTCTATAGAGACCATTCTCCAGGTATTATTTAAAAGGGGAGGGGCCGGGGATTTAGCTCAGCAGTTCGGTGGCCTGCCTTGCAAGCTCAAGGACCCGAGTTGGATCCCCGGTACTAAAAAATAAAAAATAAAAGGGGAGTTATCTGAGAGATTTTTAAAATTGCATGAATCCTACTCGTTAAACTCTAAACCTAAGACTTGTATGCAAACATTGCTTTAGTAAAAGAGCTTTGCTGAGTTTTTAGTTCATAGTTTCTCTTCTCCACGTTCACACTAACCTAAAGAAAATAAACCAATGGTTCTGTCACTTTCTAAGATACTGTAAGCAGCTCTGGGTCTCCCTTGAGTGTGTCCAAAGCAGACATTTCACTCCGGTTTCCATGCTGCCACACTGGCCACGTGGCTCCTCTGGTCTGGCCTCACGCTACCCGCAAGGCTGATGCCTAAATGGCAGTGCCTCAAAGGATCAAGAAACAGCAGCTTGTGGAGCGACACCAGCAGAACTGGGTGCCTCTGAACAGAAGGGCCAGGTGGACCAAGTTGTGGGCTTGTAATCTAGGTTTGGGCATTTGTTTGTTTTAATGTGACTGTCATCAGTCACTGACCTTTCTGCTCTGTATAGAATGAAGTCCTTCACTGCCTTGTTCCTGGGCACAGGCAATAGCACAGTGTAATTATTCTTGCCAAATATGAAATGAGCAGAGCAATGATTCAAACACCCAGGTAGCTTCTAAATACTCAACATCTCCCCTTCTGCGCCCCTCAGGTGGGGCCCTCCACTTACCTACTTTCCTTTGTTTTTGTTGTTGTTCTATTTTGTTTTGAATACCAAGAATCAAACACTGGGCCTCACACATGCCAGGCAAGATTTCTGCCCCTGAGCTACATCCCCAGTCTACTATTTAATACAATAATTCTCCCATCTTTTGACTGGTGCATCCAAATCAGTTCCAAGTTCTGGGCTACCCAATAAGTAATTCCCTTTCTTTCTTCTACATCTCCTCTAACCACCCATTTAGTCGTTAGGAAATCTCCACTTCCCTTCAAGGGTTCCTTTCTTTGAATGCCACCATTCCTTTTGCCTCTTCCTCAAAATCCCTTCTTCCCAATATAGAAAATATGGTACCCAAAAGAAAGGAAACCAGTATCCTTGCCTTAAAGCCCAGAAGTACTGAAACCTTTTAAAGGCAGCCAACAAAAGGAACAAGAAAAACAGTTTACTCTCCCACTTAGCATTTCTGGATTTCCTAACCTTTCATATGTATAGCCATCATTTTGGGTGACACCAGGAGCCAGGCATGGCTGCTTACATGAGCCTGCAGACCCTTGCACTCAGCACGGTGCATCTTACAGAAGAAGAAAACAATTAAATTTCTGGGATGTACTCTGTGGGTGTTTATTCCTATTCTGAAGCCCTGGGTCAAGGAATTAAAATCAACAGTTTTTTCCATTTCAATTTGTACAACACAATAGGAATTTTTTTTTTTTCTGTTCTCTTTGAATTACAGACAAAAATCTCACAAGCGCATAATGGAGATGCTAGCCAAGGTGTTGGCATTCAGAGTTCATAGGAGGAGGTAACTCGGAAAGGTTCTGGAATTGATAAACCTGTTTACCCTGGCACTATTTGCTCCCTGGCAGCAGATCCATCCTGTCTTGTAAAAAGTAGGCTCTGATGGGGCAAGGTCAAGATCCCGGGTTAGGACTAGCCATTGCAGAAAGATACGCAATGCTGCCTAGACAGTAAATGCAGCCCCTTTCTGGTCAATTAATGTTTTCCCAGGCGTCCTTGAGTGCAAATGACTCCAGATATTGATGGCTCAACAGAAAAAATCAGAAAAGCTTCCTAGAACCCCTGTTATTCTAAGGGTATGGCTTTTGAACTAACAAAGCACATCATTTTCATTTTGTCTCCCTCGTGAAAGCTTGAGCCAAACATCATTGTCCACAGCTCCTAAGTGCAGATTATTTTCAGTTTAACTCACCTGTGCAGTTGATTTTCATTTTCCTGATGGCCTCCTTTCCTTGATTAAATCCTGGGGTTTCATTTAATACGTTAAGGGCTAGAATCCCTGAAAACAAGCCAAATTAAAAATGCAATTTATTAGCTGAAGGGCTGTTTCAGTCTCTACTGAAAAGGAGAGAGGAAAAAAAATAACAATATAACAATAAAAGAAAGATGAAAAGAGAAAAAGATGACAAGTTTGGTAAATAAATGTGAAAACAGATTTGCATCCCGTGAAGGACTTTCCAGTTCTTATCACAATTAAAAAGCATCTCATCCTGAGGTCCTTCACTAGGCTCTTACCTGTGTTCATTTGCTTTTTTCTTTTTTTTTTTTCTTCTGTTTCTCCATCTTGTACAGCGAATAACATATGAACATCTCAGAAGTGGATCTATTTGATCAGAAATTAAACTGCTTGAGATCAGTCAAAAAAGATTTTTAATGATATTGACAAACTTTGGTAGTTTTTGACACAGTAGTAATAAAGCTTGGGCTGCTACACCCACAAGCCTGGTCGTTGTCATGGTCACCGTTTGTTATCGTGTTATTGTCATCAGTGCTGTTGGTATTAGTAAATCTGAACCACACCTATTTAATCTCTAAAGCAAATGAGAGTTTGAAATGCATTGAATTTATGCTCCTGAAGTTGGATATGGTGCTCTTTCTCTG